GGGGGGGTGTTGTGGGGCGGTGGACGACAGAAAGGCATTCAATGTAAGTTATGATTGACAGCATTGTAGATTGGTGGAGTCTTTATCAAGGGTGTAAAGCATTCACCTACCCTGTAATGGGTCTCTTTTAGAATCCATAAACAATATATAAAAAAAGTCAATTTAAAGTGTCATATTAGGCGTTCATACCTTTCTCCCTATCACTCACCTCCCACCTCTTCACTAAAATAAGGACTTATTGCTTTCTATTGGCTGCTTACAGTTAACTAGTGGATGCAAAATCACGTTGCTCCACATCATATTTATGTGTACGTTACCTAACGCACCACAGAAGGACCTTACTAGGCAACGACTCCATCCCCTTCCCTCTCAATTGCCCTGCCCAGTTCATTCTTTCTCATATAATTTAAATCACCCCACTATGCTTGCATTACTGCTCAGCTCTCTGTCCTCTCAGTGAGGGAAAAGCCGGCATGACCCGATAGCCTCAGGATATGATCATAAGTCTTAAACCCAATTTGACTGAACTCTTAGGACTACATTATTGTTGAGGTCTATGCTGCTCTAAATCCGTTTAAACTTGTCGTATTGATTGCAATAATGCCACATGCCATGTCTGGTCTTGTTTTATATTGAATGTTAAGGCTTTTCACATCTCTATGATGGTGGCAGTTGTTACAGGCAATTGTGTGTGTGTGTGTGGTGATACTCACGGTTCATGGTAAAAGGCAACCATTGATTTAAGGAGTCGTTAATGGACTTGAGAAAAAAATTTACTACATCAAAAATAAGAAAACACTCAATCGCAGATGTGTAATTCCATTGGAAAGCTAGCAGTTAATTCGTTTTTTCCAGTTTATCCTTTAAGGCTCTGTTGGACTGTTCGTCCTAAAAATGATGACCTATCTGAGAAGGGAACTAAATTTTTATTTTTTTGACATTTGTGTTCCGTTTTAAATCCATAATTCGTGATGTGTTTAATATCACGTTTATGCAGGAACTATGAGAATATTAAGCTGGAAACACTGTCGCAATTCTGTATCTAACTTAAGAAACCAATTACTAATGAGTATCGATTTGGTTACTGGGGTTACCAGGTCGATATAGTGGGTTTGACAACCCGGAAACAGCATATTCCTTCGGTTTGTGACAGGTCTTGAAAAACAATGATAAGATAATATGATGAATAAATGAAGGGGGTGGGGGCGGGGGGTTCGTAACCCAGATTTACGAGTGAATAAAATTGATGATGAACTCAAATATTTATTTATTTATTTATTTATTCATATCAAATGGCAGGCGTTTTGATAGTTATCATTAGCCCTTTAGCTGACTTCAGGCTTCACAGAGGGAAGGTGGAACATCAAAGTGAAAAAAGATTGAGAGGGGGGACAGTAGAGTGATTCACAGATGTAAAGAGATAAACGCAAAGGCAGAAAAAAGATAAAGTGAGTACTGTGAAAGTGGTGGAATATGACATACAGTGGGGTGATGGTAGTTTGAAGTCAGAAGTCAGCTGCGGGTTAATGGACTTTTTTGTCGTATGAGTATAGGTTGCCCAGGGTGCACCACGTGGAGGTAAGTCTATCGCACACCCCTCTACACCAGTATTGATCTTGGTCATCGCATTGCAGTTACGTTCATTGCATATTTTATTTTCATTAGTATTTAATGAGACAAGGAGTGCCGGTTTTATTTACTATCAAATTATTGTTCGTCTTGTGTTCATTGATTTCATTAGTCTCTTTGAGGTATGCTCGAGTATTTCGAGTGCAAATCTTATCGCGTTTTGCGCCGATGTCGTAGTGGTTAATGTGATGGCTCATTGGGGGTCAGCGTTATTCGTCGTAGTTTGAAGAAGTGTGACAGGACACTCTTTTTCTCTTCACTTTTAACGCATTTTGTGCTTATAAGACAGTTTTCATATTTACTTCTATATATATATTTTTTAAATCGACCTGCACTGCTTGCTACCACCATGATTTGTTAGTTAACATTTTTCTCTCATTTAATTTTGCAGTGCTCCTGTTATTTTTTTCACTATTGTCTCGTTTCCACTGGAAACAATCTATCGCCTTGCATTCCACGCCGTTGTTTATCGGCTGACTCAATTCGGAGTTTGACTGACGCGTTTTTTGCCTCATCTCAAAAAGTTCTTCTATGCAGATAATTGACAAATTTAAATTTTTCTACCTCTTGTAGTCGGTTTTGTATTGCCTGTAGCTCGCCCTCGTTTGCTTTCTCTGAAAACTTTTCTAAACCTCTCTGTTCCGGGATAATTTTCCTATTTCTTTTCTATTTTCTCAACGAATATTATCATGTTATGCATAGAACTTGCAAGGACTTGAAATTTATTTCTCTTTTCTCTTCACTTACCACCTCCTTAGTTCCCATCGCCACAGCGCCCTATTCCAACAAGCTGCTGCCGATAAAGTCACCGTCGACTCTCCATCGACGAGTGTTCCTAAGTCAAGGGGTGAGAGTTCATCCGACGAATCGACGGTGGCGGTGGCGGTGACGAAAATGGAAGTAGGGGATGATGACTACGAAGCCTATGAACCACCTCCTGGACCTTCGGGACCTGTGGATCTTGAAGCAGAGCTTTTCGCTTTCAAAACGTTTCCACAACTCCAGCTTATTCAAGAGGAACCTTCCAATGACCTAGCATGTAGGCAAAAAATTGTCTTTATTTGTCTTTACTTTAATTTGTGGCGTCACTCTATTAGTTCTTCCGTTTGCTAATCAGTCGAAAAGAGGTTAATTACCGTTAATCAATGTGTTGATTAGTAATAATCATTCGTAGGCTCGTGAACTGGGAACACTTCTGCCTCTCACTTTGAGTGCAAAAGAAACATCTGTTTTGCTGTGAATCTGAAGATCTACTTCTCGTGTTGTTTTTATTTTTGAGAGAACGAGAATACGATGGGTATTTTGAGGTATTCGAATCGCATCTCTTACCGCCGACTACGGTGTCCACAGCACTAAGATCCCAATCATAAAGATCCATTCGAGAGCCCCTATTTTCCCAACCAGAGTTAGAAGACAGGAGATTAGTGGAATATGTCTTACTGGGTACAGTACAGAAAGCCGCTCTGCGTTTTTGGGGATCTCTATACTACTGGTAACTCATTACCAGTAGTATAGAGATTTTCAATGATCTTTTGAGCTTCAACTTTTTAATGCCATTGTATGGCTCTCTCGTTTGATTAATACGTGGTGTTTCTACATTCAGTTTAATGTGCAAATAGCCCTCTCTCTCTCCCTATTACACGAGACCTAGGGACAGTATCTCTGGGAGAGAACATTCTCTTCTTTGTTTTAATTCTCATATTTCCTTTTTTCAATTTGTCCATTAGCGGGTTGGGGCTTCAAGCGACTTCAGATAGATTCTTACTGATATGGTCAGATGCCAATGACGCTTTTCTTATCCTCTTAAGGTATGGTGGAGCATTATTCATCGATCCAAATCGTGTCATTTACGCTTCACACACTTACGCGTAGGTGATGTGAACCATTATTGTCATTATTTCACAGCCTCTTTTCTTTTTTATCATAATAGTACATTTCCTACATCTCTCTTTATACCTGGAATTAAATTATTAATTGTATCTGTGTATACGAGCTTCATATGTTATTGTGGCGTGATCATTAATCAATTAATTGCAAATAATGTGTAAATGGTCTATTTTGATGCAATTTGGGGCTACATTTCAATAGTCATCCTCTCTCTCTCTCTCCCAATCAACGTTTTCCTAATATGCTTGTTCGTACAGTTTGCTGAAGGTATGCTCATGTAAGTGGAATTCGTGGGTTTCTCCCTCAACATACGTTTGCATTGATCGTTTCACCACGGTGTCGATGTGAAGTACATATATGGGCTATTACGAGCATTAAATGTTTCCAAACATAACATAATGTTACCCATTTTGTAAATAACTCCACGCTGATCTCCTGTTGCCTTCAAAAATGCATATATCCTTCTTTTCTCATACTTGCTGTAACTAATCTATCTAGAAGGATAGCTGTCTTCAGGCGTGCGTATAGCTTCAATGCAAGTAATTTTGAAAATACGCCTGGCCTTCGGATCAGCCTTAATCTCAATAAGCTATCGTCTTCTTTTTACCTTGGTTTCAGTTCGAAGATTATCTCCGGAACCCTCAGGTGAAGGAAAGGGTATTCGACGACGGGTTCTCGCCACCACTTCTCAACGCATTCGTCACTGGCATCCAGATATTTACGAAGATATTGGCAATGCCGGTAGTGGTGTGGTCATTGGTCGGTCCAAATCATCCCCAAACCATGTCTTTCATCGAGCTTCCGTTGCTAAGAAAGAACCGACTTCCCCTCAGTTCGCTTTGCCTTTGGTCGCTTCTGCGCGCTCTTCGTTGAATACCTCCACAATAACTACGACTACAAACAACAATTCCCGCCTCCCTATGTCGGTTTCTCCTAAAAAGGAAGCTATAGAAGGTGTAGAAGATGAGCAGAGTGGTATTCTTATTAACTTTCCACCTTCAGCATCTCCGACCACACACTCTGAAGAAGATTCTTCCTCTATCAGTGAACATGACGTTTTATTGGTGCCTACTATTCTCCGATCACAAAATTGTAAGTCACCTTCCTTGTCAATTACTATTGCATAGTTAGTTTCACTGGTGAAGTTGACGATTAAAGTTGTAGGAACTTGCGACCCTCCAAGTTCTATGTTCTCCACCGCAACCGGAGTGGTGCGCGCGTATTCCTTTCCCAGTTCTGGATTTGGGCTTCCAACTACGAATTAGAATGTCCACATTAATAAGCTTTTAAACACAAAGCCTAGTTTGCTCAAATTCCCAATCCGGGACCTCTAAATTATCATCATCAAATGGCCTAACATCAGAGGAGTTAAGAATCCTTGAATGCGGCTTATTCAGCCTCATTCTAATACACAGCCTACTTTAGTTGCGTTAGTGGCATATACATGAGACTTCAGTCCTGTTGAAATTGTTTTAGAGCTTCTCGAATTGGGAAATTGATGTTAATTCTTTAATAACCAGAATTCTGGTCCATTATATTTGTGCTTATTCAATTGACATGTCTGGTCTTTATTTTTAGCTAAGAAAACCACACCTTCAAAAGGTCACCCAAAAACACGACCGGTGTTAATAAATCTACTCCCTTCAATAAGTGGTAATCACACCCTCAATTCGTCATCAGTTAACCTTCAAGCCTCCTCAGCAGAATGCGTTCGACCTTCAGCGGGTCGATTGACCCTCTCCTTGGGTGTCATGGCATCAGATGAAGGTCGTGCCCAGCGACCTGTTCGAAGCCTCTCCTTGCGTCTTCGACCTGACGATAGTTGGATTATGAAACGTCAGGCTAGTGAAGAGGGAGATGATGCACCTAGAAGACCCCTTGATTCGTTACAAAACCGACGTCCTATCTCGGAGACAGCACCCACCACGACTTCTTTGACTTCTCCTGAAGAGGTGAAGGAGAGTCACCGACGGATAAGCGCTGTCCGACCTCTTACTCAGTTTCAAAATTCTCTCCCAACAGTCATTGCCGCTTCTCAACAGTAAATTGGAGAGGAGGTGGATTTTATACTTTTAAAATTTTATTCATGGGTCACTGTACTTGTAAAAAGATTCCCTTATGTGAAATCTTATCTCTGTGTCGCTCGAAGTCTTTCCTGCTTCTGACGAGGCTGATTTCTGTAATTCCTCTTTGTGTGTGTGTGTGTGTGTGTGTGAGCTGATAATGACGCACTCCCTATCTTTCTAAATCCCTCACCTTTCGATGCCCCCCTCTCTCCTTTTTTCATTACTTCTTTTGTTGTGATTAAAAAATGTGAACTTGGTGATAATAAATATTAAAACTGCATGACATTTTAGTATCTGTTTAAATAGCATATGATGGGCGGATTTGGAAAGCAGTAAAAGTATAATTCGATATAGGAACCATTTCAATGGCTTCCCAATGCTAAAATGCCACAATACTCTGTGTTCCTTCTAAACCTCCAGTGTGAAAACATTAACAGACTTTCCTGCCCATGTTTTGGTCTAGTAGCCACGTCTGAAGATAAATATCCATCTAGTTAGTCGAATTTAATCGAAATCCACGGAAAGGTAAAGGATTCGCAAAGTTATAACCTGACAGAGTTTTCATTTATTCATAACTAGCGCAATCTTATTAATAAATGTATCTCCGAATAAACCAACTTGAATGCAATTATAACAAAGACCTACAAAAATTACAGATCAGCTAATTGACGTACGTCAATTTTACATATTGCCAAACACTTGTACTTGTTTCGCTTTGAAATCAGTCGTGCATAGGAATCCTGGCCTCTCAAACATCATTCAACATGTTTCCCAAGTAAAATTAGTTTTTGTCACCTTAATTAGCGATTAATCCTTTATTTGCACGTACCTTGAATCGTTTTTTTTTCATTAATTAAACCAATTAAATTTTAACTATCTTTTAAATTCCTACATTGGTATACACCTTTAAATCTATTTCAAACCTAAATGCTAGTGCATCATAATCAAATCTGAGTTATCGAAGTGCTTGCGTTACGCTTCTCGTACAAATTTTGCCTGTTTTATTTCTTTTAGACAATAAGGAAATTTCAAACCAAATGTGTTAAAGTACAACAAATGATTTGCGCTATTTAGATTGAGTGAAGATTTGCCCATTCAAATTATTTAAGATTTAATTGACGCATGGGAATTCCATCATAAAAATTATCATGCATACTAACAAATATTCAAATCCTCTTTAAATTCCTATGTTGAGGTGTAATAATTAATAATTCATTCCGATTCGGTTGAAGAGCTGCGTAAAATTCGACCCATTGTATTTTGATTCGCAGAATTTGTTTGTATGAAGTACATTTATTGAATATTGACGGAATCTGTCAACCTGATTTGTGTTCAAAAATGCATGGTAATTTTAAATCACAATGTTTATAAATCCTTCTTAATAATTTAAAACAGTTGCATAATGAAGTGCGATATTAAAGTGTCCTTTTTCTGACATTGCCAGTTGAATAAAATATAAATCATTCTAATTGATATTTTCCTCAATAAGGTAAACTTAAGCCCCTGAACATTATTGGTTTTAAAATTTGCACATATTTCGATTAACATGTGTTTAGACTTTGGTTTATGTACTCAATTAACGCTTTAAAAGGTTTTGAATGAAATCCTGGTCAGAAGATATGACGAATAATTATAACAGCTTTTGATACCAACATCAACATGATAAGGAGGTGTGATTGTTCCATCGGAAGTGGACCCAAATAATTGAATATGATTGTATGAATATTCGAGGGGTGAAAATTTAATAATGTTTATCAGTTGGAAAGTTTCTCCACATTTTCTGATACCTTTGGCCTAACCATTAATTTTGGGACAAACCCTACCAGTTGAATAAATGTTATTTCATTAAATTAAAGGGAAAGCTTATAGCAGGTAAATCAAAAATGACAGTTTCGTCTCGTCATGTGAATTAGTTGTATAAATTGGGAAAAAAAGTCATTTTAAAATATCATAGCGGTATATATGTGGCATGTAATCGATATCATTTTGGTTACACACGTTTTTGAATTATTCGTCAAGAAAGTTAATTCCACTGCATACTAGCAATGAGGAAAATGAAAAATTTGTCAATACCTATGTGTAAATCTAATAGAATCGAAACTTACGTAAAGTATGAATTTATTCGATTGAAGAACATTTGAATACGTATACTGTAAAAAAAGTACTATTGCGTGCAAATAAGGAATGAATAAATTATATATAGTGATTATAAATATCATGTAGAGTAAACAGGATAACGCATTTGGAAATCACTATTTTTTTGAAAATATGCAGCACTTAGTGGTGAAATTATTTTGCAACTAATTAAATCTTCCGACTATGTGCATTCAAAGGGCACGTTCTGGATTGAACGTACGTAGTTAGTTGATTCTTGACCTATCTTAATCGAATTTGTTCATTTGTTGAGCTTACAAAAGCATAGCAAGTTCGATGATAATTAACAGATAACATTTTGGTCCGATCATCTAACTACACAAATTGAGTCGGGTATGAAAATGCGAGTACTAGAGTTTCTCCATAAATTTTAAGGAATCACCAAAGAAAATGTTAAATTTTAAAACTGAATAGGGACATTCTGCATTGGTTTTATTTAGGTAACAAGTCCTTTAATTGCCGTAGCCATTAAAAGTTTGAAGCTGATTTTTAAATTTATGACGATAGCACTTTCAATAAAAAATGTATCAAATGATAAACATTCTCGTAGCCGAAAGTGCAATCACGAAAATAATGTCACACAAGTGTGAATGGTATGGCCTGATAATATTTCTTTTGATTTTATTTTCACAGATAATGAACACGATTTCAATAAATTAAGAAGTTAACCCTTTTTGTAACCATTGCTACTCCCAAACCACTTCGAAATTAATGTAGTTTGATAATTTTAGGAAGGTATTTAAAGAGAAACTCTTGATAAATTATGTTTATAAGCATGTCAAATGATAAACTAGACTTGCAGTGTACAAAATATATATTTAATTTGGTTCATAGAATATTATTCATAAATATCATTCTAAAGAAAATATTAAAAGACATATAGTACAGTCATTTGTTAAGAAAATGAAAACGATAATATTTGTTTGTCTCAATCAATTAGACATAAGTCGAGTGCGCCTTTATCAGGATGGAGTACTTCCAAAAGTTTCTTGACGGTATTTTTCTCGCGTTCTGATTGGTTTATCATGAACCCTGGAAATTTTAAAGTTTATTTTGTCGTTTTAATTATCATGCTTTTTATTCATGTTTCTGTCGGTAGAACTCTATAATTCACATCCTCGTGTTGTGAATGAATAATTTCTTTTCATTTCGCTTATCGTTTACTCTTTATTCCAATTAGGCCATTTTATTTTACCATTTCTCTGCATTTCGTCGATCTCTGTTTTTACAAGGTTTCATCCTTGCATTTTAATAGAACTCGAACAAGCGCCACCATATCTCCAACAAGAATTTAAAATAATACGCGATCTCGATGAACAGGTTCAAAATATCACTTCTGAAGCGGCTACGAAGACAAACGAGCTCCTTCGAGTAGCTAAGAGCATTTCCAAGGATGAGCGAGTAAAGCGGCTTTCCGAAATCCAGAATCTCTACCAAATCGCAGAGGAGTTATCCAATGACAAAGTCTCCCGAGCAGAAAGCATATATGAACTTGTTGATCGACAAATTCAAAGACTAGATGCTGATATGATGGAATTTAAGAAGGCATCCGTTGTAAAAACTATGAAGAAATCTCGAAAGAAGGCTCTCTCCGTTGCTAATGTTAAGTAAGCTTGCTGTTACCTTTCATATTTTGATTTCCTTTAGGATGCCCGCATCAGCAGCTTTCGTTTTGGCTCTAACGAACGATCCGAAAAACATCACAGACATGCCAATTGATCCTAATGAACCCACCTATTGTATATGTGGTGATGTTTCCTATGGCGAAATGGTGGCTTGTGATAACAAGAACTGTCCAATTGAATGGTTCCACTTTGGGTGTGTTGGCCTCACCTCAAAGCCTAAAGGGGCCTGGTACTGCTCCCAGTGTTCTGAAGCCAACTGTATCATAAGCGATGGCGCCACTACTCTCAATCATCAATCATGACCTCTCGTAGTTTTCGTCTATTTCCCATACCTGTACATTATTTTATCTTTCACTTTGGTGACGTTATAAATGTAATATTTTATCTGATTTAATTTTTCGCGCTGTTTTGTTTTGCTGTTGAGTTCTGTATAAGTTCGCGTATACGTTAATTTAAATTTAATTAGAGATCTCGTTCAAAACTGGGTGTTAACGCACCCTTCAAGTCTCCCTTACGGACGGCTATTAAAGAAAGTAAAGGAACCCCTAAAAGCTCTAATCCTACCATATCCACTCCGAATCTGGATGATTCAGTTATGTCTAATCGGGGTACTCCTATTAAGGTAATCAACAAAATAGTGATATGAATTTGTAATTTTAGAATAACCCTGCAGGCGGTTTTATCGCAAGTAGTCTCCTCTCTCCTAGTTCTGAGAATGAACAAGAATTGGATAAATCCATTGCGGAACTAATGTCACGAATATGTAAGATCCGAAATCTCGAATCCTTCACCATAGATGACGTCGAGAGAGAAATGAAGTCTTGGCGAGACCTACTCCATGAATACAACGACACTAAAGACGTCTGTCTGTACATTTTTGGCCAACTAGCTCAGCTCAAGATGACTACGGTGAAGGAACTCTTTAAAGAGTATAAACTAGATCTGGATGATTGATGGCTTTGTGCTTTTCGCCAATAATAAGAATCCATTTTTTGCTCAATAGCAAATGCTTCTGCTTAGATGGGCTTTGAAAACACCTCAAGAGGTCTTTAAGTTCAACACTCAAAGAGAGAAGCTTGGAATTAAAGCTAGCATCTATTAGATCTATAAGTGGGTATATAAAAAATCATATGCAATATACCAATGTAATCGAAAAGCTTAGATTATGGGGCATTGAAACGAATGTTGTTCTTATCTTGAGTACTGCAAAATTTTGGGAGCCTGCTGGGGAATAGAACCGTTGCCGTGAAGAGTAGTAGCACGACACATAAAGGCACCCACCATCGTGTTAATAACCTGATCGAAGAAAAGCCCACTAATTCGTGAGTGCAGTCTCGAGCGAAACTTGAAGTCCACCTTAACAAAAGACAGTGATAGCATTTTATGTGATTTCGATGAGGAAAAAACGTAGTTTAAAAAATTGTTTAGCTTACGAGGAGTTCGACTAGGCACGTATTTTCGTTATCAGGCAAACCGGGCATAATTTTCCATTCGTTAATCAGGAATTCAAATAGGTCGCTGTTGGTGGCGATTGACTAAAAAGGGTACATATTAGCAAGGATATCAATTGTTTACTCACCTTAACCATGGTTGGTCGAACAATCGTAACCCAAGAATCATAGCTTTCCTTGAATGGATAAAACCCTATTTGAAGACGGCAAAGCTTGCCCTTTACAGGATCAGTCTTTACGATTGTGGAATCCAAACACCATGGAAGGAACTCCGAATATTGCTCCACATCCGATATTATGTTAAACATCTGCTCATTACTGTATCTACAATAAAGAGGCAAATCTCAAAAAATAATTTAACCGAAAAATAGATAAAACTATTCAAATTCATTATCAACGTATATTTTAAAGAGCTAAACAACGAAAACACACGTTTGTAGTTGATTATGTGAGGCACTTACCCAAGGAGTCTTTGTTCGCGATAGATTTTCCTTGTATCGTAAAGCAATGAATTATTATGCGTAAATCTAACATTTGAAATAAATTTTAAAGAATTTGCATTGAATAAACTCCTCGAAAACCGAGATGACAGCAAGAACATATCCGCATTTGAGAACAGCCACTCATAACCCAGCGACCTATAGCATAAAGGCGTTGATCGAAGAAAATAATAGTTAAACTATATTTGGTGGCAGTTACCTGCTGAAAAATTATATAATTTTGAATTTTTATTTTAAGGTTGGTCATTATGGCCTCTTCGTTTATTCGTTTCCATTAATTATTACTCTTGAAAATGTTCGTTCAAGAAATGTTCTGTTTAAGTTATTAAAATTCCAGATCCTTCTATTTTCTAACTCCTTATCGATATTAAATGGCCTTATAAATTGTTTCTTTTGTTATCGAATACTTGTCCTTTATTTGCATAACAAAAATATGCGATCTGATTTACTCTTAATTTTATATGCATATATTGAATGTAAAAATTAAACCTTTCATTAATTAATCAAGGATAATCTGTTCCGGTAACTATACAAGTAAAAATAAACAACATTTTTTTCACCTGACCTATTTTATTAAAACCAATCCTAAGGGTGAAAATGCCCTGTAATCAATGTCTGTATATTCCGTGTTTCACCTGAAGTTTAAAATAAATCTTAATCTAAATTACTCGTTAATATATCCAGTTCAGGTGACGAATATAAGTTATAAAAGACATTGAAAGTCCATCGTATTGCTGTTTAGTTTATTTCATTCTGTAATAAAAGTATAAAACGATGATTACTTCGGATTAATTAGTATTTAAATGTCATCACTATTCAAATTGGCGGCTCTTTGTTGGAACAGGACCAACCACGGGGCTAAATAAACTGGTCAACAAGTTCTGACTTTTGCTGGATTCATTACATGAAATTTTGACATTAGTGCTCTACTTATTTAATTAAGCATTGCATCTGCGCAAGAACAACTCAATTCATATTTCTGTCCCTCAACCACTCTCGTGGTATTGGGATCGCTTAGTGTCCCTTATTCTGCCAACTTTCTTAATCAAAATGACCTTACAAATAAGATAATCCAACCACTGTGTTCCATGTTTTCGGCTGACTGTTAAAAAATTTTTCATGAGCCTTAATTATTTCTTTAAATCTTCTCCGGGTTGACAGTGCTTCAGTGTCATTTCTAAAATTATATTCGTGGTGTGAATCACTAACCATGTTGATACTGAAGAATTCATTGTTAGTTAGTTTATTGACCTTTCTAATCATTATAGTTACGTGGAAGAACAACAGGTAAATGTGAACCTTGAAATCCAAATATACTTCATCACCTAGCTTCATGATGCGGTAAAGGGTTATGGTCACTTTGACAAAGTTTTAGTTTACATTGACCCGGATTTCTATTGTCCATACCTGTAAAAGCTTTCATATTTTAATATTTCCTTAATGAGCACTTAAAGATAACAGAAAATATTCAGTATGAGCTCCACAGGAATGATCAGAAAGTGTTAACTATTAAACTAAATACTTTCTTATTTGCAGTTCTGGGCAAATGTGGGGCGTGCGATAGACTTACCTTCACGTGGGACACCCTGGTCAACGTATACTCTATGGCAGAAAAGTCTATTACTCGGCAATTGACTTCTGAATTCGAACTACTATCACCCCACCCTATGTCATATCCAACTACTTTCACAGTACTCACCTCACCTTTTTTTCTACCATAGTGTCTGTCACTTTTACATCATTGAAACACTCTTCTGTTCCCCCCTCCCTCTTGACCTTTTCTCACTTTGCTGTTCCTCTCCTCTGTGAAGTCCGAAGTCAGCTATTTGGAATTAATAAATTTCAGGGCAAATGTAGGTTATTACTTCTGACTGACTCAGAAATCTCCATGGCATAGTATTTCAGCATTCTAGACTTGTAGCGGATTGCTACTTTATTAAAGCCTGACCGACTCAGAAATCTCTATGGCAGATTCTCCAACATCTAGCTAGACTCCCAGAACCAGCTAAGCCATAGCCCAGCTATGAAAGGAAACAGACGTATAGCACGGAGCACGTT